GTCTGCTCTCCTTGTAACACAGGGTCCTGCTCTGAAGTCCCCAAGGTCCCAAGGTCCACCACCTCCTGGAGCCCTGTTGGCTGGAAGAAGACAGAAGGGAAGGGAAAGTTGATAGAAGCAACCCAAGTAGGTACTCCTGGGTCACAGGGATTCAGCATCAAAGAATCCCTTGTTCGTTTTATTTTTTGAGACAGGATCCCACTATGCAGTTCAGGCTGGCTTTGGACTAAGTAGCCCAGCCTCGCCTCAAACTTGCAGTGATCTTCCTGCCTCAGCCTCCCAAATGCTGGGCTCATAGTCACAGGACTGCACTACTACCCCTAGCTCAAGAATTCTCCAGTAAGACACCTGGGCCAGAAACCCAGCCTCCAGTGCCCAACAGCCCTGGTGCCTCCCTGGGGCTGCTCACCTGACGGGGTGACTTGGTCAGACAGGCCACGCGCTGGCTCCCGCCTGACGTGCCTGCTCCCTCGATGCTGTCCAGGAGAACCCGGGTACTGGGCACAAAGCTCCAGGAGCGTCCAAGTGCAGGTTTGAGCTTCCCACTGTCCCTGTCTCGGGTCATGTGGTTGGTCACCTGGGGAAAGGCTTACAGATGCGTGATGCTAGTATACAGGACCCCGGTTCCTAGGGCTTCATCCTACAGGAAGTACAGTGTGCAGAAATGACCTCCCCCCGAAGTTCTCTAACTCAGTAGCAGGCCTGGAACTAGATCCTGGAGATGCTGACCTGTACCCACCTCTTTCCACCAAACTTCAGTGCCTCAGACTCCAACTAGGGGTGCTTGTGTGGGAAACGGCTGTCCTATTTGCAGTTTCCTAAAGGGAAGCCAGTGGGGGATTTGCACCTATGATATTCCCAGCCCAACAGAGGATATACTAGGCATCCACAGACCACGTCTAACCCGGCATGAGTCTGTGTGTGCGAGTGAGAGGACTTCTGGAAGGGGAGTTCTCCTCGGGAGTTGGTGCCCCCCTGCCCAGGCTGGCATGGAGGTTTGTGACTGTCAGGAGCCCCTGCAGGGCAGGGGCAGCAGCGTGAATGAATCCTCACTGCACCCAGCATAGCAGCACCCAGCACTCAGCAGATGCTCATAAACATCTCAAAGCCAGGAGAGGAAGCCCTGGGACCTTGCATTGAAACAAAAGGATAGGGAAGGGGCCAGGGAGCTAGCTCAGTAGATATACACGCTCACCTGCAAGCGCAAGGGCCTGAGTTCAATCCCTGGTTCCACCAAAAAACAAAAACAAAAACAAAAAAAACCTCAAAAGGATAGGGAAACAGGTTGTTTTACACTGCCAGTGGGTGTACAACTGGTATTAACTTCTTCAAATTGCAGCCATGTAATATCTAGACATTTAAAAGCGCACATAGCTGGGCTGAGTGTGGTGGCACACATCTCTAATCCTAGCACTGGGGAGGCTGAGACAGGAGGATGATTGGGAGTTCAAGACCAGCCTGGGCTACAATGTGAACTCAAGGCCAACCTGAACTGCATAGCGAGACCCTATCTCAAAAAGATGAAAAAGAAAACCAAAATCAAACAAAAAAAAACATGCAGCTCAGCATGCACCTGTGGTCCTTGCTACTTGGGAGGCTGAGGCCTCAGCATCAGTTTAACTGTTTTTTTTTATTTTTTAACTGTTTTTTTTTTTAGATTTATGTATTTGGTACAGGGTCTCACTACACAGCTCAGACTCATTGTAATCCTCCGGTTCTCAGCCTCCCCAGCGCTGGGATTACAGGTGTGCACCACTGGGCCCACCTGGTCGCAGGCTCAGCATGCCTGGGGGCAGGACCAGCATGGCATGTGGTGCCAGGGATCGAACCCTGGTTCCTGCGCAAGCCTAAGGAGGCACTTAGTCCACTGAGCTCTCTCACTGGCTCCATCAGTTGAACTTTGGAGTTTAAAGCCAGTGTGGGCCATACAGTGAGATGTCCGCCTCAAAACAAATACATAAATAAAAGCACATGTATCCCTGACTCAGTAATTATATACTAAGGAAGAAATAA